TTGGAAACTCCAGTTCAGACTGGACTACCCGGATCATCATTCTCAAGCTCTCAGGATCTCCACTGGAGGGGGTCAGCAGTGTCCCCATCATTCAGCCTAGAGTTACATAGAGATTCCCTCACTACTCTTGAGTAACTAAATCTTAAGCCATAAATTCACAAGTGCCCTCCAATCCTCACTCCACTTGATCCCCAAACCCTTGTCAGGATCTCTATTCTACAGCCATACTTCTCTAACTAGTCTCATTATAACAACCCACAAATCCTGAGTATCCAATGCAGTACAAGTCAGCCTGTGTATCTGGGGTTAAGTTCTAAAGCACGCCTTTAAGGCAGAAGTCAAGTATAATTCAAAATCACTCATGAAACTCTCTTAGCTGGGATCTGGGTCACTGGAAGCTCAAAAACCAAGAATTATGTCTAGTGTGTTTCTGCATTATGATCACAACTTCCCTTTCCCTGGGGGCAGCAGACACCAAGGCTCTTTGAACAAGAAAGGGCAAAGGGTTAAGTAAAGGGATTTCTCCCCCTCTACCCTGAGCTGGAGGAGCTGATTTCACAAACTAAATTGAGTGTATGATATGACTCCATTGTATTTGCAAGGGATATGCCAGGTGCTATCAGGCAAAGAAGTGAACACAAGACCCCTACCCTCACATACCCTACAATCCAACTGGGAGAAATCTGATCATTCTCTAATGGTAGATAACAGTTAAACAGAAACCATCAGAACTGTCAGGCACAAAACACTAAGTGCTTCAGACATTCAAAGGAAGAAATTGCTGTAGTGTAGATTGAGGTTGGCTCAAAGATGTTCCTGGAGAAATTGAAACTGGTCCTTGAGATACGATTATGTTCTTTCTCAAGATGGGCTGACAGCATTCAAGTAAAAGTGACCCTTTGATCTAAGCATATCACGATGTTTTCCATTATGTCTTCCATTCTCCCTCCTAAAAGTGCAAATAATTCACTGGTCATTCTGTCCACAGTAATAATGTTGAGCCAAGGCCCTAGAAGAATCGTGTTATAAACTCCAGTACCATTTGGTTACGACCCTTAAATTAAACCTGTATTTTAGCATACCAATATTGAGTATTATACAACTAGGAACACAGAGCAGCAGCTTCTTTACAATACTGGAGACTCTTACTATGGGAACATTTAATCTGACATTCCCACCAAATTATTCCTACCACATGAACACTCTGGCCCTTTGCCCCAACCTTAAGTCATTCATTACTTGGATGGTCTCACAACACCCTGTGTTAAAACTTGTTTATTTCTGCTTCTTGCAGAGTCCTAAGATCTCCCTACCCACTTTGGCTCCTTCTCCGCTCTTGCAATTCAAGGTGACCCAGCACAGTCCCCAGATGATGGCCCTGGGTCACGTGGCACTCTGAATGAATGCAAGGAAGCAAGTGCTTAGTACACATCCTGGACACAGCTCTGACCCTGACCAGTTACAGTCACCCCTGAGCTTTTTCAGAACTCGAGTGTGAGAGACAGTGACAGCATGTAAGTGACAGAGTATGAGTGAGTGAGAGGGCGTGTCAGAATGTCAGGTAAAGAAGACCCTGAGCTGATCCAAGGTCAGCAGGAATAAGGCTCAATAGGTAGAGAGACTAGGCACACATTATTTAAATAGATGGCTCTGGCCTTCATGGGAAGCAATTCAATCAATCCACATAATACAGTATATATCCAAAACTCAGTTACTGGCCAATTTCTCCAGGTCTGAAGGACATTTGTGACTTTTCCTTTCAGTGCTGGCAAGAGCACAAGTCAGACATACTAAACTCAAATCCAGATTCTGCTGAAGCAGTTGTGAGACTTGAAACATTTCCCAACTTTTGACTTCAGTTCCTTCATCCATAAAGGGAGTCAGTCAGACTAGATCTTTAGTTCATAAACATGATTTTTAAAAGTGAGAATATCACAGGTCTAAGAAACATCAGAGTCAAAACAGAAGTGTTGGCGGGGCTAGAGAGCCCCTGGAAAGTGGTGATGAACAGACAATTTCCAAAAAGAACATGGGACCTGGGAGAAATCCAGAATAACTCTACAAGTACCTCCCAGATCTCGTCCTTCCTGGTTCTGTCCTGTCTTCATACACAGACCCATACTTCCAGGAAGAGCTGAGGGATGACTCACAGGATGCACAGACCCACAGAAGTCATTCCATACTTTCTACCTGGGAGGGGGAATGACTCAATCTTAACTACCTAAGAGAAATCAAAGAATCGTGTGGAGCCCAGACCCTGACCTCTAACTAAGTCAGCCAACTAATAATCTTTTGGAGTCTGAAACTTTAACGCACAGCTTAAAATCCTGAGCGTACTTTTATGGTCTCTACTTCCGTTTTTTAGTCCCCAAAGTTTTAGGAACATCAAAATGTTCTAAGGCCCTCAGACCATTATTATTGTTATAAAATCTTAACTAGCCCTTAAGATGTTATAAGATATTTAAAAAGCATTGTAGAAAAGTTAATCTACAATATTCAATGGCAGTTTCTATAATACTGGATTTACCTGACAATTCCACATCTTTGATATTTAATTTCTGCCTCAATAAAGCCCCATGCTCAGTAAATTTATTTTTGTTGTAAGTCTAATTGAGATTGAGTACAGTTAAATTGCTTTGAAAAGATTTCATAAATGTGACAAGTTTAAAATATCAATTACCCAAACAATAATAACCTTTGACTTTACTCTTTCACAGTCTAAGAATCACAAATGTTTAACACCTGTACAGTAGCTGGTGCATAATAGGAATTCTAAATTAATCACCATTCACAACTACCATTCCGTCAGCATGTACCTACGCTAGGCAGGAATCTGGCACTTTGCAAGTTATTTTGTAATCCTCAAAACCCTATAAGGCAATAATAGCTTCATTTTACACATGAAGAAAACTAAGGTTCAAAGTAAATTAACAGCTGAGAGATGGCCAAAGAGGAATTTTAGCTCAGGTCTCTCTCATCAGTTCCCTGAAATACTCCCCCCTGAGTTTTTCCATAGAGTGAGGAGTTTAGGACACTGGACGAGAAGTTGTAGGATCTCATGTTCCCTGGCTGTCATTTACACCCACATCCTTTTTACTGACAAAGGTCACAACTGATTTGATATGGCCTATGTATGCTGGGTCTCCGGGGAGGCGCACTGCAGCTCCATCAGACTTGACCCAAAGAAAGCAGGGGGCCAAATTTGACCAAACCACAGCCCCGAGGTGGTTCCTGTCGCACTCTGAACTCTATGGAAAGATATAGTCCCTTAAAGCAGAGCTTTTCCCCATCTGAGGGTCTCTCTGTTCAGCTACCCCTCTCTGTCTCTAAAAACATTTCTAGAAAGCACTGGACCCAATCAGGTTTATTCTCACCCTCAGGAGGGTTAGCAGTAGCTCCACTACAAGACGAGTCTACCAGCATAACAAATTCTAGCAAGCATGCTACTAGCCATAGTGGCAACAGGGATTTCTGGCTAACAGCATCCTAAGGGTATTTTCTTGCCCCAATATCTCCCCTTCAAATGTCTGTTTCAACAAGTATTTCAAAGAAGCCATCAGCGTCAGATGTCTGGTACAGACAGTAGGCCAAGAAGAATGTACTTCGCTGCTGGCCCCAGTCATTTCTACTACAACAAGTTCAATTTCTCCATATGGGTGCACATCTAAACACTAAGTATTCACAAACACTAAATGTCTTCCATTAACTGAGTTAACAGAAACCACTTGTCACTTCATAGTTACAGCTTAACAATTATTTCTATTGGAAAAAACGAGTATAAACAGCTGCCCAGGCCTGCAGACCACCCTGCCAGGGGCCTTCCCCATCCATAACCAATTTCTTTGCTTCACTAGCAGGTGTTATCAGAAAATTATGACCTCAAGATTCAGGGGCCGACAAGATTCACCAACTACAAAATTCTTTAATTACTGAAACTGAGGGTTTCCCTCTGGCTCTGAATTCCCATTCACGTCTCATAAACACAAAGTCCTCTCTTTACTGTGCTTTGCTGCACTTTGCTTTCTCCGGTCTGTTGGTCCTGGAAGGATCTCAGTTCTACTAAAGGCCTGGGGGAAGGGGGACCTTTTGTGAGTTTATTTTTCAGTTGTACACATCAAGAAAGCAACCCCACAGCAATAAACGCGACTAAGTTCCCAAATGCCTTCTCCAGCCTAAAGAGCTTCATCGTGTGGGGACCAAATACTGTCCAAGAAAGAAAAGGAGCAACTAACAGCGCCTGTCAGTCTCCGCTTTCTCTGGGGACATGCACCGCTATAGTGGGGGGTTGTCACTTTCAAACTCTGTTTGCAAAGCCCCAGTCCGGATCGGACATTTTGCTTTAACCCCCAGGCTGGGCCTGTCCTATGCAGGGTGCCTGGAGCCGCCAGGCCGGCCCCACCACTCAGAGAGACTTGTTTTCTCAGCTGATCTAGTCTTGTGAACAGGTGCTTGGTTAGTTCCATCTTTTTAAAAAAAAAAAGGGGGTGGGGGGTTTAGAAAAAAAGGCTGTGAAAGTATCCCCTTGCAACCACACAAGATAAGATGAAAAGTAGCTTTCCAACTTCTCGGGGGCGCGCGAGTGTTCCTGAAGTTTGGAAAAGGCCTGGGTCTTCCTGAAGAGCGACCCGACATCCACGTCACCCCCGCCCCAAACACGCGTACAGCTCGGCAAAGCGTGCCACCTGCCGGGTTCCCAGCCAACGCGCCCGCAGGGAGGGACCGCCGGGAAGCACTTGGTTAAAAAAAAAAGTAAACTCTCCCGAGGCCCGGGGCAGCCCCGCCTGGCACCCGCGCCGCGAGTGCGCAGGGGTCGGCCCTGGGGTTCCCCTCCAGCCCCGACGGATGGGGGCGGGGGCCGCGCGCGCGGGGCGCCGGGCCCGCTGGGTCCCGGGCGGGGCGGCCGCGGGGCAGGGCCGGCGGGCGGGAAGGCAGCGCGCCCTCGCCCCTCCTCGCGCGCGGGCCGGCGCCCCGGTGGGGGTGGGCAGAGTCGGGGAACTCACAGCCGCTTGTCCTCGGGCTGCAGCTGCCAGTGCATGGCCAGCGAGAAGCCGAAGAGGCTCCCGCGGTCCCCAGCTTTCCGGATCACGTTCTCCTCGCGGGTGTCCAAGTTGAAGGCGGCGCCGAGCCGGGGCAGGAGCCCCGCCGACAGGTAGAGCAGCCACAGCTGCCCCGCGGCCGCCATGGGCGGGCGCACCGGGAGGCGAGCGGGAGTGCGGAGGCCGCCCTGCGCCGCGGCCGGGTTCGAGGCTGGGCTCCGCTTGTAGCGCCGCAGCCAGCTCCGTCTCCGCTCGCCGCTGCGCCCGGCCCCACCCCCGGACGAGTCGCGCTCCGCGCCCGGCTGCTCCCCCGCGCCGGCAGCTCCCGACCGCTGAATGAGCCCGTTGTTCTCTGGAGACTCGCAGGCGTTTTATCAAGTGACGAGGACGGCGCCCCGCCCCTCCCCTCCCCACCCCGCAGGCCCCTCCTCGCGCGGCCGCCGCTCCGCTGGCGGCCGGCACCTTCGCCACCCGCCCGGCTGCGGGGCGTCCCGGCGCGGTCCCGCCTGGGGCCCCTCTTCTTACCTGGCCGGAATGCCGCGCCCGGATCGACGCGGAAACTAACTCTGGGCTAAGCGGCCCAGCCCGGGAAGCCTCCGAGAAAGAGGCGCTGGAGCTGTGGTTGCCGCGCGGCTCAGAATCGGAAAGGTGTTTACTACCTGTTAGGAAAGAAGGTGCCAGTGGTGCCTCGGCCGGGATCACCTGAAGGGGCAGGTTCTCGCAGATCGAGGCCCACGTGCAAATGCAGACTTCATTCATTCATTCCACAAGTGTTTGTGGAGCGCTTGTCGCGTGCCAGCCACTTGGGCGCTAGAGCTGCCTGGATTGTTCTCAGCCCTCAAAGACCTAGCCATCGAAAATAATAATTGCACAAGCAAAACTGATAGTGCAGAATGATGTACAGTTTACAGCTGTATCTCATTTAATCCTCCTAACAATACTATGGGGTGGGTTTTTTGGGGGTTTGGGGGTTTGGTTTTTTTTTTGTAGTCTTGCCCCAGAGCACCCAGGGATCTGTGTCCAGGTGAAAAGGAGAGCTTGTGGGAGAAATCAGAGTCCTATTAGCAACTTAAAAGCTGTTTTCCAGGTGTTCAGATGCTGAGAAGCAGCCCCATCAGCATGAAAGGGTGGGGTATTTAAAGTAGCACCCAAACTACATCAAATTAAAGAGCTTCTGTACAGCAAAAGAGACAGTAACCAAAACAAAGAGACACACCAACGACTGGGAGAAAATTTTTGCACACAACACTAATGATAAAGGACTGATCACAAAAATCTACAAAGAGCTGATGAGACTCAACAAAAACAAAGTAAATAATCCAGTCAGAAAATGGGCAGGAGAGCTAAAAAGAAACTTCTCCAAAGAGGAAATGCAAATGGCCAACAGGCATATGAAAAAATGTTTAGCATCACTTGTAATCAGGGAAATGCATCTTACACCAGTGAGAATGGTACATATTAAAAAAAAACTAGCAACAAATGTTGGCGAGGGTGCAGAGAAAAAGGAACTCTCCTGCACAACTGGTGGGAGTGCAAACTGGTCCAACCACTATGGAAAGCTGTGTGGAGGTTCCTCAGTCTACTAAAGATAAAGATTCCAAATGAGCCAGCAATTCCACTCCTAGGTATTTACCCAGAGGACATTAATTCAAAAGAGCACCTGCACCCCTAGTTTATGGCAGCACTATTTACAATAGCTAAGCTATGGAAACAACCCAAATGCCCAAAAATAGATGACTGGATCAAGAAGATGTGATACATATACACAATGGAATATTACTCAGCAATCAAAAAAGATAAACTCATGCAATTTGCAGCAACATGGATGGAGCTGGAAGGGATCATGCTCAGTGAAATAAGCCAGAAAGAAAAAGAAAAATACCGGATGGTCTCACTCATAGCAGGAATTTAGAAAACCTAAATAAGAGACCAGGAAAAAGACTAATTATAATAAAGTAAAAATCAGAATCAACAAGCAACTATAAACCTATAAACCAGAGACACACTCGGGGGGGTGGGGGGGGATTAGAGACAAAATAAGGGGGGTGGGAATTGTATGGGGACTACAACCAAGATGAAAATGCATACATTGTGCAAAAATGAAAAATGATGTAAAAAATATATAAAATTTAAAAAAATGATTGCCCTTATAGATGGCAACATAAAGAACAACAACAAAAATAATAAATTAGCACCCAAGAGCTCAGGAGCCCTTCTTTCCAGCCTCCAAATCCCCAGGGCTAGGGTTGGGAAAACTTGCCCTCCAAGAGACAGCTTTGAGTTCTGTGTGACTCCTGCCTCCAGGACATGTGGGTGGTGGGGGTGGGGTTGCTCAAGAGATGTTGGCCCCTGGGGCAACTTTAGTCTGTAGGAGTTCTTAACCAGGGGAAAGAATATTCAGGGTCACTGTGAATTTGAATAACAAATTTTTTTAACTTTTTAATTTTCACTAACTACATTCCATTATGAATGTAGGAAGCACACAACAGTGGCAGCAGGATAAGAATCCATGTCTTAGTCTCCAGTAGAACCCACCGATTTTTTACATCACATCACAGTTGTAGCAAATATCACATATTACAGTAGTTATTAGCTAGAACCTCAGCTAGCTCTTGTTATGTAACATGTCAATTAAAACAATGTCAATTAAAAGCAATATATATTGCTATTGTGCAATTTTTAAACATTGTATTAACATAATATTTCCATATAATTGCTTTCTTTTGTAATCCCATGTATTTTATTTTATGCATTTAAAATCCTTGCTCTCTATGGGCTTCCCTTGTGGCACAAGGGGTTAAGCACCACACTGTGAGGCAATCCGCAGCCTCTGCGTCACGAGTTCGATCCCTGGCCGGCCAGGGAGCAACCCACATGGCGCAGCAGACCTCTCCTGTCTTGCCCCCTACTCCCCTCAGCAGTGTATTTCAGTCAGTCTGCCTGTTCTGTTCCCCTCTCTGTCTCTGGTGAATCCTCTCACCCCCCTGCATCTCTGGCCTGTACCCCAGCTCTTGTATGCATAAATAAATAAATCTTAAAAAAAATAAATAAAAACCTTGCTCTCTAAAGGGATTCATGGTCTTCAGGCCTGCCGCAGGGCCCCCATAGCCCCAAAGTTTAGAAATGCTGGCATGCATGGAGAGCCCTGGTGAGCCGGCATTCAATCTGACATCCCTGCGCTGGAAAAAGAAACTGCAGTCCTGTGGGAGAACTGGAGCTGTGTGTGTGCACACGGGGATGCAGGGTAGGGGTAGTGTGCCCGTTCATCTCAAGGGAGCAGTCTGTGCCACAGAGAAAAGCTGCCTGAACAAGCTTTATCAAGGGTCCATAGGTAGTAGAGGTTGCCAGAGTGAGTTTCTCAACCTAGCAGGGGTATGTCTCACTTCACTGCCAATCAGTAACTCCAGTCAAATACTGTCGAAAATGGGGTGCCTCAGGTTCAAATTCAGTAGACAAAGAAGTTGGAGATCATACTGTTTATACTAATGCTTAGTAAGCTTGATAAAGTTGAGAAACTATTGCAGACTATAATCTAGTGAACAAGGAAATATGATTTTTCATATATGCTTGCCTTTCTTCCTCAGGTTAGACACATACTATTCCGAGAGATGGGTCCAAACTATTATAGCTGTAAGTGTGAACCACAGTGGACCTCCCTGCAAGCTGGTGCTCAGCAGGAGCCACTGATGTGTCTGTAATATCACTGAAATATTTCTGAACTGTTTGAACTGAACGGCCCTGAGCTCCCCAAGTTCGACTACCACCCTCTCAGCCACTTTCCTAGTACCCACTAACTTCCCCACAATCTAACAACTTAAGATTTAAGCCCTGGCACTGCAAGGGCTTCTTCTGATTGGATGTGCCCATGTCACACCAGCTATCACACTTTGCTTCTAAGAGTAACTCTGTGCACTGTTCATTGCTTCTTCCCCCAAGATATGTTTAGTAGATGATTGTTGCATGGTCAGAATTATCTCCTTGATCCCAAATACCAACTGTGCTCAAATTGGAATTTTAATAAACTTAAATTTAAATATAGCAACTAAATATACAGTACTGCTAAAATTGAATGAAGCTAGTGTAGGGATAAAGGAAGAAGGGATAAAGGAAGAAGGGATAAAGAAAACAAGAATTAGAGACTTGTTCTGGAGTATAGCAAGTGCCCTACGCTGATGAAAAACCACACTTCTACCTTCCACCTATCTCCTGCCTAGGATGCCAGACATACTTGAAGTTGAATCAAACACAAAGACTCTTAACAATAATCTCTTGGAAGACTGTCAGCTCTTCCTGACTGATTAACAATCAAGTCTTGTGAATCAGTTGTCATTTCCGTGGTAAACAGAATTGGGCAGACATAAGAGAAAAGTGTCAGAAAAACTGAGATTTAGAGATCCTTTAGGATCCTGAGGACAATGGCAATCTCTGGGACCAAAGGCATGAAAGACTCAAGAAATCTAATTATGACACATACTATTCCCAAGAGACGGGAAATCATGACATAAAGACCTGGAGAGAGAGGTACATTGTTTAAGTGAAGAAAAAAAAAAAAATCTGAGAAAAGAAGATACTTCTTCGGGATCAGAGGGAGAGAGATGACTTAATGATAGAAGTGTGCTGGCCACAGGAGCTGCCAGTGCAGCTGTGTGCGTTTGCGTGTATGTACATGCATGCATACACATGTATGTGGAGGAGAGAGAGAGAGATTGCAGAAGGGATCTACAAATCAGTTATGTTCCCAGAGAGGTTGATTAGAAAACAAAAAGGAGGGCCTCCCCGGTGGCGCAGCGGTTGAGCGCTGTGCAGCGAAGCTGCCCGCAGCCTCTGCAGCGCCGGTTCGATCCCCGGCTGCTCCCCCTCCACCAGAGGAGGGTCCGGCATGACGCGCAGACCTCTCCTGCCGCCCGCTGCTCCCCTCAGCAGTGTACTTCGGTCCTTCTGCCTGCTCTGCTCCCTGCTCTGGCTCTGGTGAATTCTCTCACCCTCCCGTGCTTCTGACTGTACCCAGTGCTTGTATAAACAAACAAACAAACAAACAAACAAACAAACAAATAAATCTTTTTTAAAAATGATCATTTAAAAAAAAAAAGAAAACAAAACAAAAAGGAATACCAAAAAACACTATCATGAGAGCACAGAAGACACTTTTACAAATGGAAATGTTTAAAGAGATAGGCAATGAAAGCTACGAACACTCAAAAATATTGATCACCCAAAGTCTGAGGCACCCTTGTTATGCCTAATACAGTCTTCTTTTCCAAGGACCTGCTTCAATCATTTTTTTTATATCAGGTTCACTATTATATTGACCTCAGCATCACCTACAGCAGAGAAATCA